TGAGAAATCAAAACATAGCTCTACTCGCAAAATGGGCAGTGCAAACCCAAGGCAATATTATAACATACGTAAGAAAGGGTATAAGAACGAATTAAAATCGAGGAAAACAATGCAAAACCCACGAGAAATATAGAACAGTGGCGAACATGCAGTCCAAATCAAAAGTATATATATTTAGGCCATTTACAGACCTGGGTACCCCCCCCCACCCCCCAAGGGTCTGGAAAATAGGGATTTTACAGGAAATGTCGTGGAATAGCATCATCCCTGACATCGATAGAGATAATTGTTTGGCATCCCGGAAAATCTTCTCAGCTATCCCACTCGCTAAACATCCCTTTTAAAAGGCACACATACTATCACGGACGTACAGATGCATATCATTCCCGTCATTGCCATTAGAAGATTCAAATTCTTTCTCGATGTTTTAGTACAAGATTCACTTTTAGTTCTGTTTCAGCCTTCTCAGTACGGCCTCTTACAATGATATTACAGCATTTGTCTCCTAACCTAGGTGGCTCCTGGGCGCAATCTTCACTCCAATGCTTTGTGACAATAACCAGAGGCCTGGAGCCTATGCATCACTTGACAGTCGACTCAGTTCTAAACCGGAAAGACTATTCCTTCCGTTTACCAGTAGATCGTTTTTGTAGTTCTTATCACAAAACTACCAGACTCAGGGAGGCACCAAAAAACGTGAAACAGCTTTAAGCATTATAAATACTCTAATCTGCAGATTGTATTTTTTTCTTACTCTGTGAACGAAATCACACTTTTCTAACTTCACACAGGTTATCATGAAACCAATTTTCCCATGCAACTCTTAAAATCTTACAACTCATACATCTTTTTTCCTATACCATCCGCATCTTGCTCCAAGGTTTCATGGCAATGTCTTGTACGCGAGTCAGCCACTATTTCCTAACACCAAACTACATTGCTCATCATCTAACATTATCTACAGAAACCAAATCGGATTTCCTGCTCAACGTTTCCGCTCGTTAACATTGTCTTGGTTTTCACTATATTTTTAAAGCATTTTTAGTTATAACATTTTCCTTGGTTTTCACTGTATTTTTCTAACATGTTCACGCGTGTCCTCCATTTTGTACTGTTTTCTACATCGTTTCCTCTAGTTGTTACAAGCATTTCCTAGCTTGTACACCGTTTTCCTAATATTGTCACAACTTTTCTTCCAGTTTCCACTGCTTTTTCTACCGTTTCCTGTGGTTACTTTCTTCTCTTTTGTAGATGTTCACTGTGTTTTGTCCAGCTTTTTTTATTACATGCTTTCTACCATTTTCACCGCTTTCCTCTATGGCTTTTTGTACCATTTCCTCTCGTTTCCTGCATTTCATGCATTTTCAATATATGTTTCCAAGAGTTTTACCCGTCTCCTTCAGTTTCCGATCGTTTTTGCACCATTTCCTCTGGTTGTTATCGCATTTTCCTGCACTTTCATTGTATTTTTCCAGCATGTCTACTGCATCGTCATAGTTTGTTCCTAGCAGTCGCTCCGGTTTCCTCCATGTTCCAATAGATTTTGCACCCTTTATTCTTGTTGTTATCACATTTTCCTGCTAGGTTGTTATCACATTTTCCTTCACTGTATCTATCCAGCATTTTCCAGTGGATTTTGCACGATTTCCTCTGATTGTTATCATGTTTTCCTGCAGTTTCTATATCCTCTTCGTGGGTTTTCAGTCTATTCATGCATTTTTAATCTATTTTTCCAAGATTATTACCCGTCTCCTTTTTGCACCATTTCCTCTGGTTTGCTGCATTTTCAATGTATTTTTCCAAGAGTTTTACCCGTCTCCTTCATTTTCCGATCGTTTTTGCACCATTTCCTCTGGTTGTTATCGCATTTTCCTGCACTTTCACTGTCTTTTTCTATCATGTTTACTGCATCGTCATAGTTTGTTCCTAGCAGTCACTCCGGTTTCCTCCATGTTCCAACAGATTTTGCATGGTTTGTTCCTAGCATTTTCCTCTGATCGTTATCATGCTTTCCTCAAGTTTCATTGTATTTTCCAATACATCCTCTTCGTGGGGTTTCAATATGTTTTATCCAGGTGATCTATCAGTTCTTTCACACCTTGGAAAGACGTCCCATTCACCAATCAAACGGAGGTACAGTCATCCGATCTGCTGCTCTCCAACACATCTCTTACTTTCATTCGGTACCATGATCACTCCACTTCTCCAACCCTCTAGCTTTTAACGTTCTCCACTTGCACTCGTCGCAATACATTTTCCTAGCGTTCTCAACACTTCTGCCACTACTTTCGAAACCCGGGGGGGGGAAGCAGGTCTGTAAATTGCTATATTTTTGTCCACCAATTTCCAACACTTTTCCTCTTTTTTAACGTCGTTTTCGCAGATTTTCCTGCGCGCCACTGGTCTTTCCATCGTTTCCGCTCGTTAACATTGTCTTGGTTTTCACTATATTTTTTAAAGCATTTTTAGATATA